CTCTTAAAGAAAGCACAAGATCCGTACAAGGCTCTGCTGAACTACAGGAACACGCCATTAGAAGGAATAGGCTTATCGCCTGCACAATTGCCCATGGGAAGCAGATTGAAAACATCCTTACCAACACGTGCAGACCTTGGAGCCCAAGAAGTCAAGAAACACTTTCTGAAAAGAAAGCTGAAAGAGAAAGTTTACTATGATAAACACAGTGGTAAAAAGCTTCCGGAAACCCCTCAAAAATGGTGAAAAGGTGATGTTACAGCATGGAAACAAGTGGGTGCCAGCCAGTAAGCACCCCACACCCAGATCATACATTGTTCAAACACCAGAAGGTTAGAAGTATCGGAGAAACCGCAGATACCTGAACAAATGCCGAGCATCTCAAGACATACCAACAGAGTCTGCGCGCGACCAAACCAAGGACTCACCAAACATCCACACTTCCAAATTCAGTAAAGCACCTGTTCCTACCGCAGAAGCACCACCTCCACAAGTGCTGAAACCTACAGTGCTTACTCAAGGAACCTGCTAACCTTAAGGACTATGAACATTAGTTTGCCACTACTTCAAACTTGTTGGCCATGAACGCTAGTTAACCACGTGAACAACAGACCAAGTTCAGATTTGTGTTAAAAAAAGGAGAGAGATCCGTCATCGTTTATCATCTTATCAGCTTGTAAAGTTCAAAGGCATGATCGGAAATAAAAAGCACGAGGTTGTGACAACAGGGCGTAGGTCTGTCATGTACATAACAGGGGAACACATTTCATATGAATGATTTTGCACGAAGGCTCGTTTTGACACAGGGACAAAAGGCAACTCGGAAATGGTCTATTGAAGCACTTATCGACATTTACCTTGAAATCGCCTTTTTCATGAAGAGCTCCTCAGTAAACAGCAGTTGATGCATCACTCTTTTATAGTTGTGCACCGTCATGTTTCCGTCGATTACTTGTGCTGAAATGACATTCTCGATCCTCTCAGGCAGTTTGTACTCCTTCAGTAGTAACAAATCTTGACTGCTCATGTCGGTGGTTTCAGGCCATGGAACAATGTCCGCTGACCCCTCTGTCCATACAGAGGAATGCAATTTCAGTTCTTGTCGTGTGGCCGAGAGCTTGTCCAAGGCCTCCTCACTTGCTATGTCCACATTTAATCCTTGCAATAAAAAGGGCTTCTTGCCAAAGTCAAATCTTAGGCACTGCGTAAAGGTCCGGTTACTCGCTATGGTTTCAAAGGAGACAGATACGACAACTTTCATTTGGCCCTCTTTCGTGTCATTCCAACCGCCACTAGGAAGATTGTACGACCATCGCTCTCTAGGAACTTCTGAGAATTTCTCGACGTTGTTAAAAAAGCCAGTTATCATTGTCAATCGATAGCAGTCGTGATAGCGATGAAGCAGATCAACTTGACAAAGTTTGCCAACTTCACCTATCTAGTAAAGAAAAAGTGACACTTGATGGTAAAACTTTGGTAAGTCTTATAAACCGGTTTGAGGGAGAGAAACACGCATTTACCACATTAAAGCTCCTCATAATGGCTCATTACACTTGTCTTAATAGGAAAATTCAGTGAGACACTTTCACATACCAGGAGCCCATCACTAGGAGCGTGCAATCTCCCCATATTCCTGTCACGGCGTTTTCACAGACCGATCTATTTTTAGCTCAAATTTACCGCGAATTTAGACGCCCGCAAAAACCTCAGTGACCAATCACAAGCATGGACTCAATTTTTAACTATACCTAATCAGCGTATTTTATTTTGTCGACATGTCCACCTGGGACCGCCGTGTTTTTCCTCACCGATGTGCGCTCATGTAGACTGGAACTGACCTATTTCGCGGGAAAAGAAGGCTAAAAATAGACTGATCTGTAAAAATGCCGTGACATAGGCTTAGTTAGGGAGTTGCAAGCTCCTAGTGATGGGCTCCTGCACATACTGACTGTATAAACAAAGCAAGCGTCAGGATTTGAGACTCTAAATGCCCGAAAAAGGCAGGAATAAGACGAACGTAACGAGAACATGGAAAGGACACAGCTTGGAAATAGCTTGGAAAGTGAAGTACAATAAAATTTTTCTTCATCCATATACTTGTGTTTACAATGCCATTTATTTTACTAAAATCAAGGCTGATTTTTTCATTACCTCGAATTTGACAGTAAATTCCCAATGAAAGATATGTCTCTCTTCACCACGATGTGAGATCTTCACTGTAGCAGGTTTATTGCTTAAGACCTCTACACCAGGGAGACTGTAAACCGTCTAGCCAAAAACAAAAAACAAAAAACAAAAAAACAGTCGAATGAAACGAAATGAATGTATAGATTAATTGATTAAACGTACGGTGGCAGAGCTAGGAGGGGAATGCGAACAAGCCAACACACAATCTTAAGCTATGCCTAGTACGTATTGTGCACGTGAACGCCAGGCCATGCACGTGCACTATATAATAATAAAATAACAATAATAATAATAATAATAATAATAATAATAA